CCTTGAGATCTTCTAGCAAGTCTTGCCCACTTTGACCTTGGCTCTTCTGTTGACTACTCAAGAATGTCAACTTGTTTCTCTGTCTGTCTGTCTCTCTCTTACACACACACACACACACACACACACACACACACACACACACACACACCATGTATACATTGTATAAATAGCATAACCCACACATACACACACGGAGACAGAGACACACACAATACAGGGGTTGATCTGGCAGTTTCTGACACTGCACACAGATCATGTGACTGATTGCAATTAGCTGGCTGACTGGCTGGAAAAGTCTCTCTTACACTGCTGGTATGCCTTGATTCTCACCCTGCAGCCTCTGTCTACATGTGTCTAAACTAACATGCTTCTACATATGATAGCCTCGCTCCGTCAGGACAGCCTGAATGTCCTGGCAAGGAAATGAAAGCAGAAAGCTGCTGGGTCTCCTGGGATCCATTTATAAGTACAGTGTATTCTGCTGGTCAAAGCAAGTCACAGGGCCAGCCCAGACTCAGGTGAAGGGACACAAACCTATCTCCTGATAGGCAATGCTGATAATCCTACAGGTGAGAAGAAGACCACTACCACAAATTTTGAGCCAAATTTGAAGCAAGCTTTATTAAATATTGGCCAGGATGATAAGACACTGGCCAGGTCTATACCAGAGATGACAGCAAATTACATTAGTCAGGAGCATTTAAAGGCAAAACCCACAAGGCTATGTACTTACCACTTTTGTCCAATGAGGGTCAAGCATATGTCCTGAAGTACTTTCGTCTATGTACCTCCAGCCTGCATGTGATCAAGCATATCCTACACAGTTGGGGCAACCAAGCTTGCTTACAGAAGAGAAGACATAGGGTTTGTTATCTTACATGAACAACAGCCCCCAGCATTCCAGGAAGTTATCTGTCCTTGGGCAACTGGGCCTTACAGGTTTGAGGCATTTTTGTTTTATAGAACTCTTAAGCTCAGTAACTTAAAACATAACTTTATCCCTCACAGTGCATCATTTGGTGTGTTTCTACAGAGAAGGCTGGAGCTGCTGCGGCCGCTCTGACCTTTAATCTCCTATCTGAAAATGGAGATTGTCATAAAGCCCTCCTTATATTCTGCATCCAGATTCAATCACACAGAGAAAGTGTTTTTAAATGTCCCATTATTTATGTCATGTATCATAATTAAACCTATAATGACTGCATCTGTACTGAGTATTGGCCTTTTATCCTTGTTGTTATTCCATAATAAGAGTATTGGTGAGAACAGGAAGTAGAAAATGGTCAAATAGGGCAGGGATCCCAAAGCAATGTTTCTAAGAATGTCCTTGCTGAAGGGCAAAAATGCTGGAAGGGAGCTCTGATTCCTGGTTCTTCCATATCTCTGACCCTTTCCTGGAAGCTGTACATGAGGAACCAAATGAAACTGAGTAGAGACACCAACTCTAGTGACTAAATCCATCCCCATCCCATGCTTCACCCCTATTTCTACTATAAATCCTTTCAAAACCAGACAGGCTAACTGCTCAATGTCACTCTATTTCTTTGGACCCCCCCCTTGTTACATAGGAGCTCCCTTTCTCCTTCCCTCTCTGCCTTTCCTCCCAACTCCCCTTCTTTTCCTCCCCCTTGTCTTTCCTCTGAACTTATAATTAAAATCCTCTCTGAAATTCACTTTCTGTGGTCCATGAATTCCATGCTTTGAATTTGAGAAAATAAGAACCTGGAGGCTGTAAGAGGAAGATAAGCGTACACCGGATAGGGATGTCTTTGGTTAATTTTGTTGAGGAGAAATCGCTTGCATGAGAAACCGATAACCCAGGTCAGTGCTCGAAGCATTCAGTTTCAGCAGCTCTCTGAGACCTAACCAGAACCCAGAGAGAGCCCCTCCACTTCCTCTCCCCAGGCCTATATTTCACATGCCCCATACATACCTGTGGCAATGCCCAAATGGGCGTGACTAGCGCCCCAGGTACCTAGTAAGAGCTCTCCCTACAGAAGGCACCTGACTCAGTGGAAGTTTTGTGTAACCATGAGCATCTCATGAGTTAAAAGCCCATACAAAGCCTGGTGGTAGTGGTGCATGCCTTTAATCCCAGCACTTGACAGGCAGAGGCAGATGGATCTAAGAACTTAAGTTGTATATGGTATCATAAGCAATCTGGAGATGATTTAAAGAATATAAGAAGTATGTCCCAGTTCTTTGCAAATACATTATTTCATGCTTGAATATCATCCATGGGGGTTCTATAATGGATACTTCCTTGGATCCTTCATTAGATTAATAACAGGCTTAAGAGATACAAGGTGTGTGATGGAGTTTTATATATTTTAACATACAGAACAAATAGAAGATATTTTAGCAGTGGTGATAAAGAAAGGTTAAGTAGAAGAATTGAAGCAGAATATATGATGTCCCAAAAGCAGACAGAGGTACATGGAGTGATGGTACAAACCTGCAATCCCAGAACTTGGGAGACAGAGGCAGCAGAATCAGGTGTTCAAGAATACCCTTAAATAGATAGCAAGAACAAGTGTAAGTCTAATCTGAGCTACATAAGTCTCAAGAAGAGGTTTTTGTAACAAAATATTTTTGAGGTTTATTTATTATGTGTCAGGTATAATAGCGATTGCTTTGTATCATTTTTTTGTTTTTTTTTTTGTTGTTGTTGTTTTTGTTTTTGGTGGAGGGGGGAGACAGGGTCTTGTGCGCTAGAATTCCTGATATCATGTGTTGGGAATCACAGGCACACATGACCTTACTAAGCTTATAAATATTATCTTTAATTATCACAACCCCCCAAAGATAGATACCTTTATGACTATTAAGCAGAAAAGAAACTTGAAAGTAAGTGGCAGCACAAGAATTTGAACCTAATTCTGTTTCCAAAGTGTTAACTATGGATGCTAGAATTTCTTTTATCACTTATAACACAAAGTTGGCAAATTTCAGAGGTGAAATCCAGAATTGACATTTAAAAAAACAAAAACAGCCACATTAATGTAAGAGAAGCATCCAACTTTCCTTACACCAAAAGCATACCATGGTGAGTCTTCAGAGATTTTCAGCAACCCACAGTCTTAAAGGAAAATTATCTTTACAGTGCAGAAAATAGGATTGAATAAGGAAGCTTCTTGAAAGTAGGGAGAGCCAGGCATTGGTGGCTCATGCCTTTCATCCCAGCACTCAGAGGCAGGTGGATCTCTGTGAGTTCGAGGCTTAGGCTCCAAAGCTACACAGAGAAACCCTGGGGGGAGGAGGGAAGTACCTTCGAGAACTATGCCTTCTACATATTGATTAAAAAGGTAGGACACGGAATTTTGTATTTGTCCTTGCTTTTGGGTTCATCATTTCTTCTACTAGTGAAGAGGCCAGCTCCCCATTTCGGCAGCCATAACAGCCGAACACGTGCTTGCCATAACCTTGCCTTGGTCACTTAGAGGTCAGATGGCTGCCTCGTGGCAAGGAACCAATCAGAAGTTAGCTAGTGGTCCTATGCTTTATGGCTCTGGGGGTGCTTCACGGACAAGTGCACAGCAATGATGCACAGAGCATAGCAACCGCCCTGGGAGGGCCTATTGGGCCATAACAACCAGTTGACCAATCAACACAGGGCAAACCCTCCAAGCCTGGAGGCCCACCAATCCTGAGCCTGTGCATTCCCCTAGACACTCCCCTTACGCTGCCCTATAAAGATCTGTAGGCATCGGCTTCGAACTGTCTTTGCTAGCCATCCGATATGGCGGGTGGATCAAAGACCTGAGCTAACTACAATAAAGCCTCATGCAATTTGCATCAAGCTTTTGCCTCCATTCTGTGATTGGTGTTACCGAGGTCCTGGGCTAAGTCCTGGAAGCCTGAGCTTTCTGGTGGTGGTGGTGGGGGGATCTTACACTAGTAATTCCCAAATGCCTGCTTCACCTAGCCATTCTCTCCACGTTCCCACACATCTCATTTCAGGCATGACATCAAACACTTGCCTCTTCTGGGAATGCACCACCCCCCATCCTGTTGTTTATGTTGCTTTACATTCCTCCTTCAGCACTAACTTAGATCCTTTAGGGTGAGCATTGTCCAGAAAAGAGGAGCAGAGGAAGAGAGAGGTCACAGCTGAGTCCTTAGAAAGAACCCCTGGATAAGCAGGAGGTAAAAGCCACTGGAAGGCAGTGAATTTCCCTTTGTGAAGCATATTTATTGAGAAAATGGACATTACGGAATTTATCAAATGTCAGGAGTTAGCTGTGTGACAACTAGGTGCTTTTTTCTTCATTTTCCATCAATTCAAGCAGCCAATTCTTTTCATAGTCACACACATGTTTATTCTGATTGAAATTTTGTAAATAGGAGAGCCCCAGCAGATTTTTTTTTCTTCACGCGATCACAGGTGAAAATGAGGCATGGTGGCATAGGGCTATAAACTCAGGTGGCAGGAGGCTGAAGCAGGACGGTTCTCAGTTCAGGAAGCATAATGAGTTCAATTCAGAGAGACCATCTCAAAAAAACAAACAAAACAAAAGAGTTACTTAGCCTGTAACCACGTTGCTTCATTTGTTAAAAATTATGATCTTTCTCCTCAGGTTGCTATGATGGTCCCAATGTGACAATTCATATCAAAATGCTTTCTAAAATAGTGGTGGCCAGTAACAATGTAGAAAATATGTATATACTACTACTACTGTTATTCCTCTGCACTCCTTCCCTGCGCCAACCACAGTGAGTTCCTGCAAGGCGTAGGCAGGAATAGCAGAGATGGCTGTAATTTTCAGACTAGTTTTCTGTATCCAGAAATTTTCAAATTAAACTTTCAAATCAATTGTCTGTATTCCGATCACCTGCCCTAATCCAGCATGGCAGCATCAGCTACACTCATAGCGCCTTTCCGGAACCCAACGACTCCGACGCCCTGTGATGACGTACACCTCCCCCCACGCCCCCAGCGCGAGCCTCTGTCGGGTTTGCGCCTGCGCCGCAGAGTCCGCGGGTGGGCGGAGCCGGTCGGGATGAGTGGCGGAGGGACGGAGACCCCTGTAGCGTGCGAGGCCGCTCAGGGTGGCGGCGGCGGCGGCAAGAAGCGGGACTCGCTGGGGACGCCGGGTGCGGCGCACCTCATTATCAAGGGTACGGAGTGGAGGGCGTGGTCTTCCGTGCGGGGTAGGGGAGCGTGCGGGGCCCGCCCCTCCCGGGGCTCCCTGGCTCGCCCGCCGCCCTCAGCCGCCTGGCCTGACTCTGTCTCCGCCCCAAGCTCACTTCCCGGCCCTCCAGAGCCACCGGCGAAGGGCGCTCAAGTTGGAAATGGCAACGAGTTTGGGCCCCACACAGTCATGTAGTAGGGTGACTTCGGTCCTTCACCCCCTGTCTACCCTTCGCGCCTGGCTTCTGCCAGGGAGAAAGGACAGCACTGGGGAAAACGTCCCGAAACACCGTGCACAGCGGACCTGTCTGCTTTGAGCCTCAGAAGGCTTCAATCTAAATTACTACAGTAACTCAACCAGGTTTAACTCCTAAAACCTCAGAAGTCCCTGTTTCCTGCGGAAAGACCTGCAGTTGCATTTTCCACTGCTTCCCTTAACTCTGCTAACCCCGACGTCTCACCCACGTCAGCTACAGCCCTGCGCTGCCGCCGGGTGAATGGTGTCTTACCATTGGTGCCGGTTTCCATTTTAATCTTAGCGGATCTGTGGGCAGCCCCAGCAGAGCCGGCTGTGACTGTTTTTTATTTTCATGTTGTCTCTTAAGTTTAATTTGGAGTCAAGTAGTATTGCATGTGTATTAAGACTAAGTTAGAATTATTTCTCTGTGCAATCCTAGTAAAGAATTGATTCGTTGTATGACTTGTTGGCCTACCACCATTCCGTCTACAAATGTTTGTCTTTCGAAACTTTGTACGTATTAAACCCTAACTCCTCATACTACATCTCTGATGAAAACCCCATCTGTAAATTTGCCCCCGGGCCTCTGTGGCCTTGGGCGGCTCCACTCTTTCACTGTTGGAAACAATGCTGCTGTGAACAGGAAAGTACAAACATCTTTTTGAAGCCTGGTGTTCGGGACTTGGGGATGTATCTCCAAACGTGGATTCCTGGGTCATATGATGATTCTTTAAACTTTTTGAGAAATTGACGTAGTCTATATTTGCTACATCTTTTCTCTTCTCCCATTCTTAGCATCACTTGTCATTTTCTGTCTTTGGTTGTGGCCATTCTAATGGGTGAGAGATGATACCCCTTGTGGTTTTGATTCGCATTTCCTGTGATGTGCGCTGATAAGTGTACTTATCTTGACATACTTACTACTTGTTCTTAGAAAAATGTCTATTTAAGTCCTTTACAGAGTTAATAGTTCTTCGTCTATTGTTGGAAGGCAGCTGTGCTGGCCTCTGTGCCATCAATGCTGGTCTGTATAGATCTTTAGTGCTCTTGAGCAGATATTTTTCTTTCATTTCTCTGGTTGTCTTTCATTCTGTTGATTGTGTCTTTTGAGGCAGAAGTTTTCAGTTTTGAAGTAGTGCTATACTGGAGATCAACCCAAGGTCCCCCACATGCTAGACAAGAACCATACCCCTAGAGGCTACATCACCACCCCCTTTTTCTGTAGTCTTATTTTGAGACAGATTCTCACTTCCACATTCAGGACCCAAGCACCCAGCCCTCCCTGTAGGGGGTGCTGAGAGAGCTACACTTCTCTTTTGTCTCATCCTGTAAACTCATGGATCTTACACCAAAACACTTCTCTGTGTCTTTGTGGGGAAGTATTTATCTAACTTTTACATTAGGTTATGAACATGTAGCGATCAAAAGATTACATATTTCAGTAACATTTTTATTATAAACCAAACAGTAAAAAGAACACATTATAGCCTGGCTAGAGTTGGATTTCTATGGAAATCTGTATTCTACACTACATGATTAAACTAAAAGAATTTGTATGTAATATTTGGGACTCTTACAAACTGAATTGCTATAATGGACTTGTTTTGTTATAATGGCAGTAGGTAGCATTGTAAGTACCTAGTAACTGTGGTAATGTGTATTTCATGATATGCCCCCTCCCCCCAGAGTTTTCCACAGTTGAAGTTTTAGAAGCGACTGTTAATTTACTTCTATGTAGAACTGGATTATCTCTGCAGAGTCAGAGTGAGCTCCTGTTATATCATCAGGCTGCAGAAACATATCTCCTAACCAGCAAACCTTAACTGATTCTCTGTCTGTGGAAAGAGATGGTAACTCATGTGTGCTGTGTGAATAGCACGAACAGCTTGCTCACCAGGGAAGAGGTGACTGGGGACCTTTGATGTACATGATGTTGGAAGTAGATGCCTCTGATGCTTCAGGAACACAGCATTCAGACTGTCTCTGAAACCTGGGCACAAGTTGGTTAGCATGATCGACTGTCAGGGAAGAATGAGGGCTTAGCGGTTGTAGGAGAAAATTGGCATTAGGTGATATCAGTAGTTGAGGTATAGGACTCTAGGCTGTGGCACTGTGGGAGCTGCAGCAGGATGCCTGAGGCAGCAGGGTGTGTGTGTAGAAAACTGCAGGTGGTTCAGAATGGAGAAGCTTAGATGCACTTCTTGGAGCCAAACTGTATGTATCCTGTTAGCCAGTGTGCTTCAAAGTCTCTTGTATTCTTGGGCTGCAAATAGATGCTCTCTCTTGAGAGTGTATTCTCTGCACAAGGTCTATAAGCTCCTACGTTCTCTCAATCTCACCCAGGCAGTCACAACTCTTAGTATACCAGTGGCTCCGAGATCCCAGTAAAGAACTCTACATACTCTGTTGCATATCATGTTTCTCAGACTTGCTAAACAGAACTTTCTTCGTTAGTGAAAACTCCACATATTTTCCTGCAGAAACCATGTGGGTAATAACTGACTGAGAGATTTAAACAAAATTGTGCTTCTGTTTAGATTTTTTTCTACTTCGTGTATTCACAAGATGTATCCTAACAAAGCCTACAAAACACAAAATTGGAATCTGATCCACTTTAAAAATAAAAAATATATAGGAAAACTATTACCAGCACATGAATATAGAACATACATATCTTTATTTGGGCATTTAACTTCTCTAGCTATTTTGAGGTTTATATCTTAAACTAGTTGTAAGAAGAATGAATAGACTGACTTAACCAGACACATAAAATTAGGATTTTTCTTTCATAGCTATGGCTTTTTAAGATTTATTATAAGGTAAAGATACTTAAAACCAACACTCACCACCCACCATGATAGATAAATCACTAACAGTCCTGCTGGAGAAACTGAGGCTGTAGCTCAGTGGCAGAGCACTGACCAAAAATGTGCAAGGCCCCAGGTTCAGTCCCCAGTACTTAAAAAGCCCCAGCATACACCTGGCTCTACTTAGCTTTCATTACCCTTTTCTCTCTGATGTCAGCCAGAGGAAGTATCACTTTTCATATATTTAAAGTTTATGTAAATGGATGTACATAATTTAAATGTCAGAGTTATCCATATCAATAGCTGTCGATCTGGTATATACATTTTTACTCCCTATTCACAATATTCCATTGTGTGACATTTAGATTCTTTTGGTAGTTCACATGCCTCAGTTAACATTTATAGATGTTATGTTCATTTATATAAGGTTTTTTTTTTTTTTTAGGTGATATGTCTCAGCATGGAATTGCTAAGGATATATGTCTTCAGCTCTATTAGATATTGTTAGATGGCTCTCAAAAGTAGTTCCATCAATTAACACACATCGGAAGTGGATTGGAGTCCCTCCTGATCCGTGGTTGGAACTGGATTTTAGCTATCTTCATCTGTTCTAGAGAAGGAGGAGAGTAAAATGGGCCAGAGATTGTACCAGTCAACATGAATTAATTCTCCACTCTACTCTATCTTTCTAGATCTTGGAGAGATTCATTCAAGGCTTCTGGATCACAGACCAGTTACCCAAGGGGAAATTCGTTACTTTGTAAAAGAATTTGAAGTAAGTATCTAAAACTTACTTTGTTGAAAAGCCTGGCACTAATTGTTAATGACCTCCTACACCAAAGAGTAATGTCTGAGGTTCAAAACCTGACTTTATTTTATGTCTTCTTAAAATGTTTATAGTAAAAAATTAGGAAAAGATTAAAAAAAAAAAAAAAGTACCTGTTAAATGTTAAATGCAAGACCAGGCAATAGGAGACGGGGGCCACATTCTGGTACCTACTCTTGGACTTTCTAATGTTTGTCAATTGCAAACCTTCCCTCTGTGAAACCAGATAGAGTGGGGGGAAAAAAAAAAAAAAAGAACTCCCAGGGATTGATGGGTCTGAATTTCCGGATGCATTTGTTGTGTTTTTTCCTTGGTTGGAGCATGAAGAGTTGAGCTGAAATATGAGAGCTTCACCTGTGTCTTCCATGCTGTTCACACCCTCGTCAGTGAACAAACCTTCTCCAAGTGAATTCCCATTGCTTCTGCTTGCTGTGCCTATTTAACCATCCAGTCAGTTTTGGTTTTCACTCTGCCTTCCCTCATGATCCAACAGTGTCTCCCCCTTTAAAACCCTTTGCCAACCACAGCATGAAGCATCCTTCTGTGACCTGCCCCTACTCAAACCCCACCACCTGCCACTCTTCACCATGCATGGGAGAACGTGCAGTCCTGTTTCATGTTTTTCTAGTGCTGCCTAAGCATTAAGTAGTAATCTCGAAAGCTACTGTTAGATTCTGTGTAGGTTGAAGTTCTAGCTTCAGATGAGACTTTGACCAAGAAGAATGTCTGAACCTGTCAAAGCAGAAGCTCCTAATAAGCCCTTAAAACTACAGCAAGTCTCTGGTGCTTAGCCCTCTAGATAGAACTGTAGCACCGGACAAACATGTTTTGGTTCAGTAGACCCTGTAACTCAGAACTGCCTAGTGCCCCACAGGTTTTGAAGTTTAAAGACATGTGTAGAGGCATGTCTTAGGTGTGTCTGTTACCTAGTGCGTAAGTTACTTTTCTCATCACTTTGACAAAACACCAAACAAAAGCAGCAGAGAGGGGAAAAGTTTACTTGGCTCACAGTTTAAGGAGGTGCTTTTCAGCCTGGAGGGGAAGGCATGAGAGCAGGTTGAGCAGATGGGACTCTTCACATTCAGGAGGAACAAGAAGCAAAGACAGGAGAGGAAGCAGGGCCCAGTTGTAAGCCTCCTAGGTCAGCGTCGGTGAAGAACTTCCTCCAGTGACAGTCTGCCTTCTGTAGGTTCACAACCTAAAGCAGTCCACCAGCCCACAAGTAAGAGTTGAGACACATAAGCCTATAGGAGACATTTCCTACTTGAACAGTAACCCCAGGAATAGTTAGCAGTTTTCAACATCCTTGTTTTTATGTGGGATAAGAACAGTGTTGGACAGAGAAGACCACCCAAAGGGTGTTCTTTACATGTCATGTAAAAATCATTACTAATCCCTACAAACTTGCTATGATTCCTTTATTGTATAAATATACTTAAAAAGATTAAATATTCCATATGGGATGAGGATATAATTATCCTTAAGCCCTGGCTAAACTCACTATATAGACCAGGCTGGCCTTGAACCCCCAGAAATTGCCTGCTTCTGCCTTCTGAGTGCTAGAATTAAAGACATGTGCCACCACGCCTGGTCTTAGCTACCCTTTTCTTACATGTGATAATGTTTGTTTACCTTTAAAAACTTTTCTGAATTCTAAGTGTACAAAAAATAACAGTGTTGCAAATCATCTTTGAGGATAGAATGTGCTTGAATATTGTTGATGCAGCAGTTCTTCACTTTGTTGACAATGACAAATTCTAGTTGGTTTAAAATCTGCTGCACTTAACTAAAAGAAAAATGCAAACACTTCTTATGCCAGCTCACCAGCGCCTACTCCCCTTTTCCATAGTGAATGCTATGTCACTGCATACAAGACATCCTGAAGCTAAAAGGATACCCACTGCCCTAGCAACACATCCAGCCCCATCGTACATTCCATGGCCCCTCCCAAAGGCATCTTCACCACAACTTTCCTGCCAAGCCAGGAGCATCAAGATTTTGTTTAATGTTTTGTTCTCCTTATAAACTAACATATGTACAGCTCAGGTCTATCCTACAACCTACGTACTCAGTACTATCTTACAGAAATATCAGGAACATCTGCAAATGCCTTGTCACACCACCAGCAAAGTGCAGAGTGAAGGGAACACAGAGTGCCTTTTCATTTTAAGAGTGTTTGGAGGAGCTGGAGAGATGGCTCAGCAGTTAATAGCACTTGCTGTTCTTGGTTTCAGTTCCTAGCTCGCACAGCAGGCAGCCCACAGCCACCTGTAATTCCAGCTCCAGAGGATCCAACACCCTCTTCTGGCCTCCTCAGGCACTGTATTTATATGAACAGACACAAACACACACATAATTTAAAACAAAATATAAAAGGAAAATTAAAACATTTGGTAATATGTATAACTTTGATAGTTTTAGGGTGTCAACACTTGTATAATCCACTGACACTTTGAGGGACAATTTAATCATGATCAGTTTTGTAATAAAACCTAATGAGGGTAAATACGACAAATAAGATGTTTCCCTTCTCTAAGTAGACAGGGAAATGCTTGCTGTTGCGTGTTTTAAAATGAACCTTCTTTCCCCTCTTCTTCTTCTACCTTTTTCTGGGCAATGTTAGCAGGACCCTTAGCAGCGTCAAAGTTCCCTTAGATTCATAGCCACCGTCATCCTTCCATCTGTCTTCAGCTTTGTGGCCTTGGGGATGTGTGACCACTTTTCACTCTCCTTAAATTATTCCACATCTCACTCAGATTTTCTGCCATATGTTCTGTGGAGATGCCAGCGTTTATGGGTTTGACCTTGGGATGGAATTCTGAGCAGAATAAGGAGAATGTAGACCATGCTTGTTGTGGGGCACTAGTGTCCCCTTTCTTCTTTCCTCCTTTAGCTGGTCTGTAGTCCTTCATTCCCAGCCGTGGTGTACTTTATCTACCTTTGCCATTTTATAACTGTATATCTTTGCTGGACACTGTCGTTTACCGCTTACAGCACTATTTAGAAAATTCTGAAACATTGACAGGGACCTTTAGGTTTTTCTTCTTGTGTTTTTTTTTCTTCATGTCTGCACAAAAAATTATAAGCAAATATTCTCATTAATTTTAACTGTCAGCTTGATACAGCCTAAAGTCATCTGACAGGGAGTCTCAGTTGGAGGAGTGCCCAGATCGAATTGGCCTATGGGTGTGTTTATGGGGACTGCCTTGATTACCTGTTAATTGTTTTGATTGTTAACTGGGTGATACCATGCCCTCAGCAGGTGGTTCCAGACTGTACAGAAAACTAGCTAAGCATGAGCTAGCAAGTGAGCAAGCCAGCAAGCTCACTTATGTAGTGGTTCTCAACCTCCCTAATGCTGTGACTCTTTAATATAGTGCCTCATATTGTGGTGACCGCCCCCCAGCCCTAAAACCATTTTCATTGTTACTTCATAACTGTAATTTTGCTGTTGTTATGAATCATAATATAAATATTTTTGGAGAGAGAAGCTTACATAAGGGGTCACAATCCACAGATTTGAGAGCCACTCTTTAATGATTTCAACTTCAGATTCCTGCCTTGAGTTTTGTCCTGTCTTTGCTCAGTGATGTACTGTGATCTAGAAATGGAAGCCAAATAAACCCTTTCCTCCCCTAAGTTGTCTTTAAGGGTGAGCTCTCTCACAGCAACAGAATGAAACTTGAGTGGCAGGCATTTTGCACTTCGGTTTCTTTTAGCCATCTTGACTATGGTTTTCTCTGACTTAATTGTTCTTCAGTGTGGAGTTACAGTGGGTTCTTGCTTTTCCTTCCTTCCAGCAACTACATTATCATCAAGTTCACCCCAAACCTTTCCGCGTCTTATGACTGGCCTTGCCCCTTTGCAGCCCTCGCTGTCTGTGGTCAGGAAACTACCCGATCACCCCATGCCCAACCTTATTTCTGCAGACCATTTTTCACACACTTGCTTGCTCATTTCTGAATCCCTGCCCACACAGCTTTTCTACCCACTTGCATAAATCCATTTCCTTATACATACTTCAGAATCTCTGATGGCCACAGACTGTTGTACAGCTCCGTATCCACAGTACAACAGCCACTTTCTTCCTTTTTCTTCAACATCTCTCAGTTGTCCTTACTGTTACTCCATCGTTCTAAAATGTCCCCTGTATTTTTGAATGTCTCACTCCCCTATTTAGAATGCAGGTTGAATGATCACCACTGACCTTGACTGCAAAGCGGCCCCTGAAGCATTCTATCTTCTTGTTCTCTGTGACACTCTGTGCAGCACCACACTTCCTAACACCACGGAGCAAGTTACCACACATTCAGCAGTATAAAACAAGTTCCGGTTATTTGAGTTCTTTATGTCAGAAGTCTGCACATTGGGTGACCAAGACCTCAGCTCAGCTTCTCAGGAAGCCAAAGTGAGGGTGTTGGCCATTCTGCATTCTCCTCTGTGGATCAGGGCCCTCTTCCAAACCCACAAGGTTGTAAAATAATTCAGCTCTTCTCTGGAGGTCACTTTCAGCTTCCAGAAGATAACTGTAGACCTTGTTGCATAGCTTCTTCTATTTTCAGAGCTGAAATTGGAGAGTCTGCCTCACCTGGAATTCCTCTCATGCTCTAAATCTCTCTGGCAAGAAGAGCCCCTCCCTGCCCAGGACTCACTTTACAAGTCAGGGCTCTACAGGTCACCTGCTTGGAGACCGTAATGCTCCCATAGTATTCAGGTCTAAAACTTTCACTGTTGTTTTTCCTCTGGCACAGCAGCTGCCACCTGAATCTGTTACTGTTTCAGCAACTGCTTCTCAGGAAGCAGCCTAGAGGGACTTTTACATCTCCCTGGATCCCATTCCTGCCACTGCCACCAAATGTAGTTTTTAACTAAATCTCTATCATTTTATTTACCAATAAACTCTGGAGCCAGAGGCTAGGGTGAAAACCTGCTGACTCAGAGAGGTTGAG